TAACCGTTGTGTGTTTCTGTGATTCTGAATCATTAAGAACCACTTCGGGAAATGGTCTCTGCACTGAAAGTTTCACATTCTAAATAAATGAATTAAAATGTGTTTAACAAGTAAACAAAGCAGAGATTCTGAAGAAGCTGCTGATCTTTCCTGAAGAATTCCTATTTAGACAAACCAGGGAATGAGCAGATTTTTCATGAGCAATAAGGCAATTGCACGTAATAATGAAGCCATTTAACTGGAAAATGCAGGCAATGATACAGTAATTCTAGGGTTTTTTTGGACTTGTAAAATTGTTTTAAATTATTAATGTAATATTTTGCTTTTGCTTTGGATTACATTGCTAATAAAAACTGTGAGGAGTTTTTTGTATGGTTGAACATGAGATTCTAATGTAATTAAATGTCACAAATTTTCAATAATGATGTGCTCTCTGATTATACAATACATTTATGTAGGGTATGTGCCTATTTTCAGTATTTTTAGTTGAAGTATGAATAATCAATCCATTATTTTAAATTTCCAAAGTTCTGTCCTCTGGTTTTTTAGTGTGTGAGATAGTTTATTGCCTTCTGAACATGAGAAAGTTGGTTTATAGCAGTACTTAGTATGAAGAGATTTATTTTCAGAAGTCTTTAATATTTATTAAAACATGGAAACTTCTCTGTAAACACACCTTGATATAATTTAAGGAAAAAAGAAGAGTTGAAGAGATAATAATTAACTATATTTAAAAATGGTTTTATCACAGGTTTTTACAGTTTTCAAACAAGACTTCAATTATATTAAAATTATTTTCTTGGATTTTGTTTCAGCATCTGCAGCCAAAAATGATGTATGTTTACAGTAATCTCAGCATTTATAAAGAGGTTTGAAACACTTAATTATAAGGACTGAATTATGGTATCAGTCCTTGATTTATGTCTCTAATGTTATCTAATTAGAAATGTAAAGTGTTCCAGTTCATTTACATTCATCGCTCATTAACTGGCTTTTAAGAAGTGATGGGAAATTGCAACTTTTAAAGAAATTTATTTAGCCAGATTTCCTGCCAAGTTTTTTTTTTTTTCTTTCCAAGAAGATACTATTTCCTTCTTAATATATGTGTAAGAGTTTTATAGGTGTCAATAACAGTTTGAAATTTAATTTTGGCACCAGGTTCTCTTTGAAGAGGAGTAATAACTTTTATAAACAAAAAGTTGTGTTTCTTTGATAACTGAACATCAGGAGCTGTCATGGAGCTGGTTCTCATACTGAGTCCTTTTTCCCAAGACTCCAAAACCTGTTTTCCTTGTGAGATATTTGTGAAAGTTTGAAGTAAACATCTAGACTATAATTTATTTATAGCTACCCGTCAGAAAGTAACTACATCATTATTTGTTATATTTTAAGCAAAACTGAAGTTCATGGTATTGGGATGAGGTGCGACTGGCACAACATGATTCTGAGAAAATTTTGGATTTTGGGAAGGAAAAATTCATACATGAGCATCCATGATGATGATAATGATCAGGAACTCAAACAGTAGGCAGAGAGGTTCGGAAAATCTCCAAGGATGGAATTCTCATCTTGGATGGATGAAGCCTTGAGCAATCTGGCTTGATGTTAAAGTTGACTGTGTTTAATGTTAAAGTTAACTGTGTTTTAAGGAGGTGTTTAAAATATAAACTCCAGGAGTTAATTCCAGCTTAAGTTACTGTATAATTCTGAATTGTCATTAACAGATATTCTCCCCAAAAATTTAATAATATTTAAGCCTACAGATGAATTACAAGCAAAAGGTTTTATGGGATATGGATGAAAAATTGAGTACAGTTGAGCAACTTTTATATTTTATGAACTGAGTTTTGATTATCATAAAGATTTCTCCTTAGTTAGAAATAACCCAGAATATATTCCTTTTTTACAGTTCAAAGTGAGGAAAGCTGTCTTGAGTTAATTATACACCCTATGTGCTACACAATTTATTATTTAAAATTTAAGTGGTGTGTTTGTATGTAGTCTGTAAGAAATTCCTGAATTTATTCATAGAATATGATACATTTGCTTGTGAAAATGGTGAGTTGGGTTTCAGAGATCAGAGATACTGGAAATACTTGATCTGGAAATGGTTCATCTTCAAGGCTCAAAAAGTATGGAAGGATGCACAGAATCCCAGGATGGGTCAGGCTGGAAGGGACCACAGAGGAGTCCCCTGGTCCCAGCTCCCTGCTCCAGCAGGGCCATCCAGAGCACAGGGCACAGGGCTGTGTGCAGGCAGTTCTGGAATATCCCCAGGGAGGAGACTCCACAGCCCCTCTGGACAATCTGTTCAGGGCTCTCAGTGAAGAAGTTCTTCCTCCTGTTCAGGTGGAATTCCTGGGCTCAGTCCCTGCCCGTGGCTCTGGTGCCATTGCTGGGCCCTGGAGCAGAGCCTGGGACTGCTCTGAGCCTGCCAGCACACAGGGACAGACAGGCAGGGACAGACAGGGACACCCAGGGACACACAGGGACACTCAGGGACACCCAGGGCTGAGGGTCCCTCTCAGCTGGGGCTCCTCTCCAGGCTGAACAGCCCCAGCTCCCTCAGCCTTTCTTCACCAGGGATGCTCCAGGTCCTTGACCAGCTTTGTAGCTTCTGGTGGATCTGCTCCATGAGCTCCATGTCTCTCCTCTCCTGAGGAGCCAAGAGCTGCACATGGTTCTCCAAATGAGCCTCCCAGGGCTGAGCAGAGGGGCAGATCCCTCCCTGCACCTGGGGAAATGCTCTGCCTGAAGCACCCCAGGACCTCACTGGCTGCTGGCTCAGGCACAGCTCGTTGTCCATGAGGATGCCCAGGTCCTTCTTGCCAGAGCTGCTCCATCAGGTCACCCCCAGCCTGTGCAGGTGCCTGGGGTTATTCCTCTCCAGGTGCAGGAACCTGTATTTGCATATGCAAATAGATATGCAGATGCTTATTTCCATATTCCTGGTAGGTTCTTGGGTCTCACAGGAAATTTGAGTGCAGGGTCTTCAAATCTAAGGTGAAAAATTCATGATTCATGACTTGCTGAGAGGTGTAAGATCTCTTTGAAAATTTCTGTGTAGGTGGAGAACCTTACACCTATGGCTGTGAGGAAGAGGAGGAAAAGGGAGGCGTTTCTGGAAGGATTGGTTAGGAATCTGAAACAAGCAGCTATTTTTTTCAGGTTTTTTTTTTCTTGCTATTTCAGTAAGATGCTTATATAGTTTATTTTGTGCAATTATAGTCTTGCTACTGCCACGTGAAATCTGAGGTTGTGAAAATGAATTTATACAGCTGATTTCTGAAAATCCCAAGTGTTACCCTTTGGCTTAAAAGCCCCATAACATAAATATGCACAGGCCTAACTCTTGGAGAAGTCGTTTCTAATTTAGGTGCTTGTAAAACTACTCTGCTTACTGCTGTGAAACACAGACCCCAGAAGATACATGTGAGACATTATTTCACATTCTGGCTAATGCAGCGTTTTTTTCTGCCAAGTCAGCAGTTCCTGGAGCTGGAACAATATGTTATCTGGTTAAAATTCTTCTATTTGGCCTTTTATGAAATAATTGATTTTCATAAATTCCTTGTGTTTATTACTATTTAACTGCTGAGGATTCAGTGAAGTTACAGATTTCTCAGGGGTTCCTTTCTCCATATAGGAATGAGAGTTATGGGGTCTGTGTGTGAATTGAAGTTTTATTGAGGAATAAGATCTTTTCTAAGAGCCTTGTCTTGCTGAAATTAAAAAAAATATTCAAGTGGAGTTTGTCTTTAGTTTTGAATAAATCCATTTGAGCATTTTCTGATTAATTATAGTACAATTTTCATGTGCTAAAGGCACATGTTGGTTATGTGTCACGTTCTTAAATTTTAATGCACATTTTGATACACTGTGATGGTTTTTTTGGTCATTTTTCTTCAAATTATTTGTATCATTTGGCTTGCACTTGCTGATTGCTCTTGGATATTAAAAGAAATAGAGTAATCATAAAGTTATCAGAACATTGTGAAAATTAAAATGGTTCATTAACAAATCTTATGTGCTTTAAAATAGGCGTGATTATTAGAAATCAGAATGCTTTTACATTTTTCATTCTTATTTCATGGGGTTTTTTTAAAGCTTAAATAACAAGTGCGCAGCTTACAGGGCATTTTTAGTCCATATGCAATTAGACTTCTTTGCACAATTTCAACAAAAGGTGCCTGAATTACACAATGTTGTAAATGTGCCTGAGAGAGGGAGCAGGTGATTATTGCTTTTCTATTTCTTACATTGAACTGCAAAAAGAGAAAAGCAGGTAAAAATATAATCCAGCATGACTCAAAACTTTGCATAAAGGTTTGCAGTGATTTGTGTGCCATTATCTAGTAATGATTTCCTTGCAGTCCTAACTTCCTCATATTTTTAAATTAATGAAATATTGAGGTAATATAATAAATTTCAGCAGGGTAGGCTACTTATAAAAATAATCAAAATGAAATTATTAAGGGACAACATGCCTCTCTATCTTCAGGAGTAAAAAACTTATACCTTGCATATGAATGTCCTGAAGAGCCAAGAAATTTTCAGAATGCTTGTGGAAAAATAATACTGATTTATCACCATGGAATGGTTTGGGTTGGAAGGGACCTTAAAGATCATCTTGTTCCAAGCCTCTGCCATGGGCAGGGACACTTTCCACTATCCCAGGTTGCTCCTGTCCCTGTCCAGCCTGGCCTTGGACGCTTCCAGGGATCCAGGGGTAGCTTCTCTGGGTAACAAGGTTGTGACTTTATGTGTATATATATATATATATATATCTATATATTTATATATACACATTTCTCTAGTATTTGCATTCTCAGGAACTTGGTAGATGATTGCTCCAAGAAAGTTTTGATAATCCTTGCGCTCCCTTCCAACCTGGTATTCTACGATAAATAATTTCTAGGAAAGACCGAACAAACCTCTCAGAAGGCCCTGAAAACAACAAAGACCCAGGACCTCTCACCATTTTCCCATTTTCCTTCCAGAACAAGATCATCCTGGACCCGATGACGTTCAGCGAGGCGCGGTTCCGGCCGTCGCTGGAGGAGCGGCTGGAGAGCATCATCAGCGGCGCGGCGCTCATGGCCGACTCCTCGTGCACGCGCGACGACCGGCGCGAGCGCATCGTGGCCGAGTGCAACGCCGTGCGCCAGGCGCTGCAGGACCTGCTCTCCGAGTACATGAACAACGTAAGTCACCACCTGCGGGGAGCCTCAGCCCCCCTGGGGCTGCAGTGGAGCCCCAAAGTAGGGCCGCGGCTTCGTGCCCGGTGCGGAGTTGGTGCTGCTTGAGTTGTTGAGGTTTTTAATGCGCTGCAAACGCCTGGCGGGAGGTGGGTTGGATCAGAAGCTCAGGGGGGTGGTGTACCTGCCAAGGAAATCCGTGCTCCCCGTGAATTTGGCATAAAAGCTTCTTCTTATGTAATAACTAGCAATTCCTTTGGAAGTAGAGTGGTTTAAAAAGTGAAAACAATGGTGAGTAATCTTAATGCGTGAGTAATCTAAATGGCCCAAGAATTATTTTCTGGTTAAAGATGGATATGATAAAGATGAATTTTCAGCATGTTTGCCCCTGTGGGATGGTCATTGTATTTGATTTTTAGGATGTTACCCCTAGATATTCATAAGAGGTTGACTTTTTGGTGTGTGGGTTGAATTTTTGAAGCTTTCACATTCTAGTGGAGCTATGAAATACTCAGTTGCCATGAAAGTAGTGAGTTCAGCACTAGTGCTGTTCACACAGTCTTAAAAACAACTCTCTGGGTAGGGTTTCCAGAGGTGTTGGATTGTTCAGTGTGGTGTGAATTGGCATTGCATAACCTTTGTTCTGCACAGGTTGTCCCAGAACACTCTCTCCACCAAATGTTGTGCATTAAAATTCAGATGTTCTCTTGCCACGTCCTTTTGAGGATGTGGGAAAAAGACCAAAGCAACATCAACAACCTGTTTTAAAACTAAAATGTTTGCCAAGAGATATCAAACTGAGCATCCTCTACTTTGCTCTTTCTTTTCTTTGGTTGCTCCCAGAGTATCAAATGCCACATTTTGATCCTATTTTGCTGGAATCATCAAAATAATGCTGAAGAGGGTGTTCGAAAATAGACTTTTAACGTTGTTATTTTCATTGCTACTATTTCAATTGTCAGTGTGATGCAATTCAGTATCAATAGTGCAAACTTCAGTCCTTTAGTCACTTCATTTTACAGTTCAGACTTAAATGTTGCTTTTCAAAGATACTGTTCCATGTAATAGAGTCACCTCAAGGAATAGCTGTTTGAATTGAAGAGCATTATTTGCTTCTTAGTTTTTTCTGAAGTGATGGTTGACAGGTTCTTGTGAAAGCTTGAATGAATGTGAAGTGTTGCTGCTGTGTTATGGGTTAGAATCTATAAAAGAGAACATTAAATACCAGGTGATGAGGCGGTGGTGGAAAAGAACTTGCTGGGTTTCTTCCTACAAAATCTTGCTTTATAGAAGCAATACTGGTGCAATCCTTAAAGGTCTTTCGAAGAAACTTTGAGAACTGATGAATGGTGACCTCTTATTTTATTGTGGTGCCTCTTTTTTGTATAAGTGTCATTATCTAGTACACATAGTTTGGTAATAATGGAATTTGCCCCTGGACCAGAAACATTCTTATTTTATTTCTGACCGCATTTACAGAGGGAGGAGAGTTTTAAATTCCTGCAGGCATTTATGACCACACTGAAGGTTGCTAGTAACCCGTCATCATTTTTCCTTAAACATGTAATGGTGTGAACAGCTGCTTTTATGGTTTTCATAGTATGGTTTTTGAAAGTCTTTTTTTTTATTATTTTTTGATGTCCTTCTTAGTCTGAGTTGCACAACCCCTGTAATTTATTTATTTTTCTACTTTTACTGAAATGTAGTCAACTTAAGCAAGATTTTTTTTATACCTATTGAGTAAATATTATAAAAACGAATATATACTTAAATTACATAAAATGCAGTATTTCTGATTTTACCGGATCTGGTGTGGTAAAATTTGATGATGATAATTTCCAAACTGATGTTAACAGTTACAAGGGATGGGATTAAGATTACGTTTCACTATGCCTAAATTTAGGTTTTTTGTACATAGGGACAGGTAAGGTAGGGGGTGTCAATTCAGTTCTTTAAGGGTAGATGCCATTTTAAGATGTCAGGTTAAAAAATTCCAGTACTTGTTTTAGCAATGTTTAATCATTTGAGCCTCTGTTGCTTAAGCTCCAGTTATAATTGTCAGAAACCAGATCAATATTGGAGATCAGATCAATACTGCCAAGAGAGCCTGAAGAGCCATTGAGATGATAACTGTTATAATCTAATATGGGCTGGGGTTAAGTTAAATATCTCTGGACTTCTCTGATATATTAATTAAGTCCCAATAGCCAGGACAGACGATCAGATCCTTATCTAAGGACTGAATTTCATCCATTCTGCCCTGGCAGAATTTGCTTTGGTACTAAACCTATTTCCTTGAAACCTGTGGATTGTTTTTCTTGGGTTCTCAATAATTCTGAGCATGTTCAGTATAACAAAAGATCTCACTTGGAAAGTGTTTTAAAGCTTTCATGAGTTTCAAAAGGGTGAAAGCGAATGGCACACACTAAACATAACACAGTCCCAAGTCTGATCAAGGTTGACTTTGCAAAGATGGACATCTTCAACATCTTCTGTCTGTGTGGCTTTAAACCATCACAATCCTGCTTTGGCTTTAGGGACCATGAAATTAATCAGCCATTCAAGTTTTGGGGTTTCTTCTGTTCGATGATAGCTGAAAAATGATGATTTTTTTGGGGTGATGAGTGTTGATCAAATGAGCATACAGATACTTTGTGGTGATATTTAAAGGATGCAGATGATGAAGGGCAGCGTGTTGGCAGTGTGCTGCTCTGTCAGTGTTAGTTCAGTCCTCCAGCTTAGAATAGTTCCTTTTCATTCATCTACTTCCCTGATTTGGGTTCAGAGGGGTGCTTCTTACAAAACTACAAGAGCTGAAGGAAAGGGCTATGAGCTGAATAAAAAGTAGATACTTAGAAAATTTTGGCATCCAAAGGAAAATCTGAAAAAATAAAAAAAAGTTGGTAGGAAGGATAGGGGAGAGTTCAACTTAGGTAAGTAAAAATGGTGCTGCTTCTGCAGTTGTATTTACTGTTAAAAAGATGTGTTTTGGTTTCTGCTTCCTTCTCCTCAGATAAATGTTGATTTGCTCCACTTCCTACCTTTGAAATAATGTTTTTAATTAGTGCCTAGGCTCTTTACTAGTTTTATGAATAATTATATATTTATATAGTTACTGCATTGAGTAACACAGAGAGTATCACAGTACCTAAATCCTCTGCAAGGGAGATCCCTGGGAGTTCTCTGCAAGAACTTCTATGGAGATGAGATGTAAACTGTTTCATTATTCTTTGTATATCCAGAAATATGCATTTGCTTCATTTGCCTTGTCAATAACTTGGACAAAATCTTTTCCCAGCATGGTATCCATCATTTCTCCCATGAACTCATCTAAACTTTAGAATCTGTTACTTTTGGGAAGCAAAAGCAAGAGATTTCTCAATCTGCTGTGTCATGTGATTTTTTTTTTGTCAGGGTCTCAGAGAAAATTGAGAGGGTATTTTTCAGCTTCTTACGTATATGTGATAAATCCTGTAATTTATTTCAAAATAAAATTACATTTCTAGACTTCTCTCCTACAGAGAAGACCTAAATGCAGCTCCATAGCAGCTCTTAATGCAATTGTTTTCCATTTGTCTAAATGAAAGCCTTATTTAACGGATGGTTAGCTCTGATTGGGGTCTAGTTTCCTGCTGATTTTCTCTCCTGGATCCTTCATGATTTGTATTACAGGCTGTCAGGGAGCAAAAACACCAGGAACCTGGGAGTTGCAGCTCTTAAACTCCTGGGTCAGAAATGCACTGCCAAACTCAACCCAGTGCTGGGCACCCTTTCTAGCAAGACTCAGGGTACTGCTGCTCTGATTAACATAAGAAAGGGAAGAAATGATATCTTTAGAAAAATATGCTTAAAAAAGGATGCTTTGAATTCCCTCTGACATCATCAGATTCAGTGCCAGAGACAGACTGAATGTTGTGTTGCTGGGGTGTATCAATGATAAATTTGGAAGGCAGTTGACAAGTAAGCAAGCCGTGAGTGTGAAAGACCTCTGTAATCACTCCAGTACTGGCTTGGCATTAATTCAAATCTGCATTTGAAAAGGCATTTCCCAGCTGGTTCAAATATGATTTTCTTCTATAAAGCCTTTGGGCTGATTATTAAGTCAGCTTGCACTCTCCTGCCTTGCTTCCCCTATTAGCCAGTGTTCCTGTTCCCAGTCCCTGCTGACATTCCAGAGGAGCTTGGTTTTTGTTTTTTTTTTTTCAGTTATAATTGTTTTTTGGGACAGATAATATTTCTGTGTGTCTGAGTGGTATGACCAGTCCTTAATGGAGTCTTGTATTACTATTGATGATTTAATGTTTAGATGTGAGGATCACACTAACAGCACTGAAACAGATTTCCCAGAGAGGTTGTGGAATGTCCCTCACTGGGTATATTCCAGAACCATCTGGATGCAATCCTGTGCAATGTGCTTTAGGAAGACCCTCCTTTACCATGGGGGATAATGTTCCTTAATTTTTGCTCTTTGAAATCTTACTCTCTAAAGTTACTACCTGTTCCTGATACCTGCTCACTCTTGAGTTGCTATAAGCTCTAATTCCTGTTTCCTATAGAGAAGAAAATATCATTTATTGAAATGACAAAATAGCAGAAAAACAAATGAGAAAGCACAAGCCTGCTGGCAGCTTATCTTCACAAATATATCAGTAAAAAATTGGAATTACTCAAAGGAAAAACAGACTGTTGCAGTATTTGAAGATGCAATGTCCTTAGGAGACAGCTGGTTATTGTGCTTGATTGGAGAACGAACAACACGATAGCAACTGAAAAATCTATAAACTCTCAAAAATACTGGCAGCTGTCACATTTAACAGCTTCATCTGAATTCATATTTAAGATAAGCAATAATTGGTGTGTACGTTTCAGCTCTGGAGCTGACTTGTGTAAAGTTAATCTGGATGACAGTGAGCAGTAAATTACAGTTATGAGATAGAAGAATGTCCAGAGCTGTTCTGAGATGAGAAATCAGGGATGAGTGACAAGAGATTGACTGCTGGAGCAGC